GTCGAGAATATAGAAAGTGATCTGATGACTATGTAATAAAGATATAAATAGCGTGAGACGAGCAGGAAGCAGTAGACAGACAACAATAGACAGGTAATAGCAAAAGAGAATATAGTTGTGTGAAGTTAAGTACTGCAAAGGTGATAGGCCTAATGTTTAAGTTAGAGTGAAACTAACAGTATAAAAAAAGATAAGAAGGATATTCTTATTCCGTCAGAGCGTGATTCTAAAGTAATTGAATCAGCCTGGGTACACTTTGACAAAAGGAACAGAGGATCTTCAAAAGAAAGAAGACCAAATGAATTACTATAACTTGCGCCACAACTGTAAGTGAATCACATACAGAATACTAGTACTATAATAATATAGAGAAGATAGTTCGACTTGTCAACTGAAATTCTAAAGTAATTGAATTGGGGACAATAAAATTTGTATATTATTTTTTATTGCTATACTTGTGTTTCTGCTAAAGTTACAAAGCTCTTTCTTAACTCTCAAGGAAGAGTTGATGAATCAAGGAGAGTTACAAGTCTTTGATAAAGCCAGTTTCTTTTATGAAAGAACACCCAAGTGTTGACTCCCTTATATTGAAATTGTGGAGGAAGGAAAGTCAAGCTTAATTGGAATTGTTTTCAACACATTTTTCATACAAGTCTACTTTTAATTTAGTCAAAATTTGAATGAACACACACATTATTCAGTATTAAGTCATAAGAAAATAATGTTTAATATTAATAAGCTAACCATTCAAAACCCAAGCACATGCTTCAGTAATATTACTCAAACACTAGTACTTGTACTAGCAGTATTTAGTCATGATTAAAAGAAGTTCAAGTACAGTTAAAAAATGTGGGCCTTATAAGAGTTATCTAACAGATCCAGATGCATGGGTAAGTAAAAGAAAATATTTTAGCTAATTGGTTTAAGTTGAGTTTTAATCATATTAACTTTCTTTTGGCTACAATACATTTTTACACTAACAAGTACATATGAAAACAGATTTTTTTGGGCTTCATGCACTTTTAAGTAAATTTACATGAGACATTATATTAACATTCTTTTTTTATGTATGCCATATACTGTACAAACTAGGTTAAGTATTGAATAAGCAAAATGATGTAATACTATTGATATAATTAACAAAACCTTTTTATTTCTTTAGATTCCTAGAGAAACTACAGAGATAAGATTTACAGATAAATGAACATACTTTCCATGATCCTATGGTTAATGATAGGCCTGTAGATGTAGCTCAAGAGATAATTCAGGTTATGAACCAGACTCAGACAATGAAACCAGTTCCATGGATGGATCTTCAGAGGATGATAGACATAACAATGAAAATATAATGAGAGACAGTGAAAACACTACAGAAGATGAAAACCTTAAAAATTAGTCTAATATCAAATTGTATGATGTTTCAGATATCACTGTTGTTGAAGTGGTACTTCTGATGATGTCATTATTTATAAAACATGCTTCGAGTTAGCAATATTTAATGGATCTTCTAAAAATAATTTCATGTATGTTTCAAAAATTACATTTTATGCCAACCACAAAGTACAATGTTTAATCAACTTTCCTTGTTGCCAAATGATATAAAGCCTGTTAAATAAATTTATTATAGCATGTATTTATTACCTTAACATTGACTTAGATAATTTTCTTTGCCCATCTTGTGAGATTGATTTGATACCTGAAGATATTTTTATTTAACTTCCTGTGTCTCAGATACTTACTTCCTTGTTTGAAAAACAAAAAAATATACAAGTATTCAACTTATCAACAAACAGGTGAGAAACTAACTGTAGGCACTATATCTGATATCTGTGCTGGCTCTGAATATAAAAAAAAAATATTTTAACTATATACCACATAGTATCTTTCTTTTATGGAACACTGATATTGTACCAGTTTTTAAAAGTTCTGCAAAATAGATATGGCCAATTCAGTGTATAATTCAAGAACTTCCTTCTTATTCAAGAAAAATGTATCAGATTGTTGTTGGAATATATTATGGAACATGTAAACCTGAAATTAATTTTTTATTCAACCATTTTGTAATGGTATGAAGAAACTCTTTGAAGAAGGACTAAAATGAGTATATCCAGAAAGTAAGGAAATTATTGTGTCACATGTGGCTCCTCCTCTATTTGTTGATGCTCAACATGTGAACACTCAAAAAAAAATTTTCATCTAATACAGTACATCACAAATTTTCTGGCAGCTGATGGTATGGCACCTCCTTTAATCCAGACAAAATTATGAGTGCACTTGAAATTCCCGCGACTGCCAAACTAGTTCTTATGGGTGGCCACAGATGGCATTGTGTGTGTGATGCGTGCTCTTTCGGGACGGGCTACTTACATTTTAAGTAGGTACATCACTTTCGTGAAAATGTTTTTATAAGTATTAAACTAGTGGATCAAATTACTTGAATTTTTTCATGAATATTGCCAGAATATGTAGTTTAACAAGATACAAATATTTAGTTTCAATTTTTTACAACACAGAATGTTGATAATAGTGTATGAAAAATCAAAATATAACGTACTTGAAAATAACAATTTTTCTTAAAAAATATTTAAAGAAAGTTGTATAATTAAATTTTTTCTTTATGTCAACAGATAGAATTTAAAGATGGTATCATGTGCCTCCATCCCAAAAGAGTTAATTGTTTACATCTGCAGTTGGCGGTAGTGATCCCTCGGTTTTGTGCGATTCTTAGCTTATTTGGCTTACATTTAACCCTAGCTATGGTTTCTATACAAGGTCCAAGTATCAGTCGCGGTGTCAAATGTAAGCAGAAGTCCATATCAATAAAAGACAAGGTAGAACTGTTGAAACAACTTGACCGTGGTGTTTCCATGCAGAAACTGTGTGATACGTATGGTACTGGTTCATCAACTGTTTACGATATAAAGAAGCAAAGTATAATTAGTGGGCCAGAGGTGTATTGTTGAATCATTATTATTATGTGACCTCTGCTGGTCCAGCAAAACAGATAATCCGGCAAGGCTCTGGAAACAAGGGTGCCGGAAAATTGGTGGTGTACCTGTATGAGGAAATGTTAATATTTATCCTTACACTGAGTTACAGCAATAGTTACTTTCGTGAAGACGTATGCTGACTCAAGCTCAGAAAGCCATAGACATAGGTTTTGTAGTAAAAGGAGTAAAGAGTCCATTACCTCTAATGTTTGTTTCATCATTTGACCTAGGATGTGGTTTTCTGTGTTGTGTTATTTTAAGTGTTGCTCGTGGTCACTGCTTTACATGGCTTGAGAGTTTAAATCATTCAAAACCATGGTACTTGGGAAAATAAAAGCAAGATATTGACATGGAAATTCTCTAGATCCATCTTCTGATTACAATGACACAAGTTCTATGATCTTTAATGCATTGAAAAAATACTGGAAGGGATCAGAATAGAGAGCATGGCTTTTATTTTATTGTATTCCAGTGCTTATTGACCATTTAGAAGTTCAATATTTTATAACATTTTGTGATTCTAACAGCTGCAGTTAACTACTTGCAGCAAGAAAAATACCACTAATTATGTCAAACTTAGCAGAGAGTCTTTTGAAACTTTGTGGAGCAATTACCAGAATTATATGGACTAAAGTTTTGTACATACAATGCGCATCAGCACTTGAAACTGTCGGAAGATGGGGACCATTTTGGGCTAATTCCTCCTTTCTGTTTGAAAATGAAGTTGAGGAACTTTTTCATTTATTACAAGGCACACAGATTGTTGACAAGCAGCTGATTCATCTCTATGTAATAAACTCACTGAGAGTTTTAAAAATGTCTATTGAGTAGGGTACAGTTGAGTATGATATGGATGAGCGTGAAGGGGAAAGAAATCCAGGAAATACTATCAAAATGCAAGATTGCATTTTTATGGGCAAAGAAATATCAGGCAATAACAGAATCACACAAACATTAAGTTCGTTTATCCAAAGAGAACATAAATGAAAGTCCATGTACTTCGTTTTCTTGGATTTTTTATAAAGGAAGGAAAAAGAATAGTCATACAATTCAGTATTTGGAGGTTGGAAACACTAAATATGGACCAACAGTTTGTTGTGCTTTATGAAATGATAAAGTTTTGGTAATTTTGAAACCATTAATCCTATGTGGGAAATATTTTCAGCACAGATCAACAAAAGTACATTTGGCTTGTATAGTTTCTGTAAAGGAATGTGACAAATTAGCGATAATTAACCTCAAAATTAAAAATCAAATGTATTTGAGTACTGGGGTGGGGTATGTTTGTATTTTCCTAATAAATTGGAAAAGAATTTTTGATTATACTATAGAACATATTGAAAATTCTATCTTATGTTTTTAAAATGTTAATTTGTTTTAATTAAAATATAATAAAGTTTTATTTAAAACAGTTCTAGAAATCTCATTCTTATTTATTACTTTCATCTAATGCAATGCTGAATATGCAAGTATAGTAAGAAAGTATGATGCTAAAATAAAAAAAGCCAATAGATAATGTTATGTAATCACTTGTTGCAACAACTTAAAGGGAAATTTAATTCAAGCAAGTTACTTTTTCAGTAACTTGAAAAAAAAAATTATTTCATTACCACATTTTAAGAACTGTGATACTAGAAAAGCATACAAGATAAATTTATTTGTTAAGTAAAGTTAATCAATTTTGTATCAAAACCTCAAAATATATTGCTGTTAATTCTTAATGACAAATTATGTGAAAGTGCAGTATTATGTAACTGTAATAAGATATTAAAATACAGCCAGTCTCATTAGTTCAACTAACATATATTTTGGATATGTAATTAAAATTGGTTTTGACATTTATATGGATATCAAGTGCATTATTTTGTATATGGTATGATTTTCAGCTGTAGATGAAATAATTGAAGATATATATATATTAATATCTTTCTCAGATCTGGGTTGAAGATTTCCAAGTGCAAAATCAGGGCTCAGATTTGAGTGGTACTGTCCAGATCTGACTTGATTTAACTTTTATTTGGACCACTGCTGTTCCAGATCTGGCCCAATTTCACCAGATGTAACTTGATTTAACTCGTTTATGAAATATCAGGATTTACAGATCTGTATGGTGCTGTTCCAGATCAGATATGATTTGACCCAGATCTGGGATTTTTATAAGCAATTTTATGTAAAATTGTATTGTTTTATAATTGCTTAATTAAAAGAAACATTGGGAAATTGTTTACTAAGCTGTTTCATCTGAAATTTTGAACTTAATTTCTTAGTTTTTACTTTGTTAATATTTTCCAGCTTTTGTTACAAACTCATCTTTTGAAAAAAGAAAATACAGGGGGAATAATTACCTATACAGCAAACACTGTACCCTGTGTAACTTCATCTTTAACAACTCCCTCAACTGTCATGGCAACTACAGCTGCACCAATTCATACAGTTGTCAACACCCCACCAGCAGGTGCAATATTGACAACAGGGATTCCCGTTTTTCTGGATCCTGATAAACTTCCCATAAACAGGTATGTAGTCATTATTAAAGGATATGCATAAGATTGAGCAAGATGTTATTTACTTGAGACCTTCCTTGTAATTTATGAATCTTTTTGGGTTAGTGTTACATGACTAAACTTCAGGTACTGCAAGAATAGGGTCAGTAAAACTTGCTTTAATTCTATCACCATGGGTATTCTTTACTGCACGTGACACAAAGTTTATGTTATACCAATTAGTATAACATAAAATGTTAGCTAATAATCCATATTTTAATAGTATATACATTTTAAATTCTTAATTATGTAAGGCAATATTTAAAGAAATCCAGAATTTCCCCTTGTGTGACACATCGGACAAATATTCTCTAGGCATCTTCTCTTCTCTATTTTATCCATCACCCCTTCAAAAGGTATGAAATTA